TTTTAACTACCCCCCCCCCCCTTTGCAAAAGAGGGGAGATTCGTTACTAGGTACAGATCTTATTTTCTTAACCGTTGAATAATTTCATTGTGATGCGGAGACTCTGAGCCAGTTTTAAGCAAGTTAATTTTCCTCCCCTAAAAAATTTGGCGTGGGAGGGAGGGTGGTAAAGGAGAATGTTAATTGGCTTTCAAGATTTCAATTTCTGTTTGTTTGCTTATTGTCACTTTTCTATATCTCAGAAATGCAAGATGCATTTTGATTATTCTTGTTGTTTTTTCTTTGAAGTAAAATTATCAAAATGATGCTAATCGATAATTTTTCATGTTTTTAATTTTCATGCTAGTCGAGCTTTATGCTAGTTGAGCGGTCACAAAATTATTCGCGTATTGAAACAAATTATTTGCGTATCGAGGAATTACTCCCACAGCCAAGCCGCACCTTAGTCTAGTGCAAGCATACTCGCTGGGAAACCCCAAGTTTTCCGGCTCGATGCCCATAAGCAGTCAACATTTCTGGATTTGTCCTAAATATAAGAAAATCAACCCGGGCATATATATTCCTCACTTTCTTCGAAAGACGGAACAAATTGTTAGACAATCTGAAGATTTCGGTATTGAAAGAAAATATCCCAATCATCTTCATTTTCTTCGACCGTCGGAGCAACAATCATCCGATACGTCGAACGATGTATGCATTTAAAAGCCTTGATAGATAGGTACAAATGTGATAGAGGGGTCCCGAATAACTAACAAAGTTTAACAGCTGTTGTTAAATACAATGTTTCAAATTTGTTCAATTTCTGCCTTGTTGATTACAACTTAAGCACAAAACGAAACTGACCATCAGGGCAAAGCTCTGAATGTTACGACAGTCCCTTAATTCAGATCGATTAGTTTTTTGGGAAAAAAAAAAGAAAAACTTTAAGTTTTAGACAATATCAAAGTGTGAAATTCTGAGTTGTACTAAATTAATCCGACCGATTAGCTGGCCTCAATCCAATTCGAAACGATTTCGTTGTGCTGCTGGATAATTCGCCACGCATAAATAAATCGCGTTACGCTCTCAGCATTATGAATACACTCTTCAAAGCACGCATAATTTAGTCCAAAACATGGCCAATTTGGCAACCCCCATGACCTTACAAAAAATAATTGAAGTCAAAATATCTTTTTAAGTTTGAACCCAGGAAGTCGATATATTCAATGGGGTTTAAATTTTTTTGTTGAAACTATAAGTTCGATCGGCGAAAACAAAAAACCTTTGAATATAAAAAAGCCACGCCGAGCATAAATACTCGGTTCTCTTGGAAAATCGAAACAATAAGCTAGGGCAAATAAAGCAGGATAATATAAGTTGAGAAAGTGTCTTGAAAGTCAGCAAGCAGCGTCCATTGATTTAATTAACTGCTATGTTAGCTTATAGGTTGCGTGAATTCGGATCCCTTTGTGGCACTTGTTCCAGTAGGGCTTCAAACTGCGTGTTGAACTGCAAATACATGAGCAAGATAACTTCTGTGTGGTCTGTATGAACAATTTGAGCATTTCTGTTTATAATAATCACTTTTTACAATATTTTAACATAATTATTGTTTTATACAGGAAGCTATTAAAACTCCTGTCGGGAACCTGGTCCAAGTGTGATAGAGGCGTCCCAAGAAACCAACAGGATCCCCATTGCGGGTAGATTATCTGAAAATTGTGAATTTTAGGGACTCGGCGATGACCATTCAAGCATAAAAACAGGTTAAGGAGTCTGTTTAACCAACACACAGCGTAGTTCTCACTAACACAGAACCAACATAGATTATACCTCACCTGACGGTCGAGGGTATAACAGAGTCAAAAGCGTAAATGAGGGCGTTTAATTACGTTTCTTGCAAAAGCGTTTTTGCTCAGAATTAGCCTGAATTGAGGCCTTATTTATTCTGTCAAACTTGGTTGTTACTAAGACCTCTCTATCTCACTTGTACTTGGACTTCACAAGTCATGCAATACGAAACCAATTTTTGGGTTGCAACAACACATGTGAAAAAACTTTGGTATAATGGTACTGCAAATGGTTTTTCTTGTTTTTTTTGTGCTTTTCTCGTACCTTGTTAAACTTTATCCTCTTGTAGTTTGTATATTGGAATATTTTAATGCCTTCACTTAACATAGTTTTTTCTTTTTTAACTATGTGAAACTCGATGCAAAGTGCTTTTTGTCAAGAGAGCCTTGTTAACTGCTGTTAATTCACTCCTTCTGAAAATGTTAATCTGTCAAAGAAACAAGAGATTTCCGAGGGATATACAACTTTATTTGATGTTACTTCCCCCTTTAAAACACATAAATCTGAACAGCTCGTTGACATAGGAGATTTCGACATTAACTAGGATTAGCTATAGATATTCTGATATATTGGAAAAGTTCGTTTAAACGCCCGATGACAATATCTTATGGTCCTTATGGTATTGATTAAGGAGGTTGTTAAGATTGGAGGGCGTCTCTTTTGGCTGCATTAATTGGCGACTAAAATGGTTGTAGAAGGAGTCCTCTTTCTTTAGTTCGAAAAGTGATGATGAATGAAATGGTCCCTCCTAATGATTCGACAATTGCTAGCTAACCGCTTTCTGAAACAAACACAACTGATAGACAAGAAAAAGTGATTGGTTTATAGATTTGAAGTATCGGATATTGGAATTCGACCTCAACGCGAATTAAGTGAACTAAGTATGAAAAATTCCAACGAGTATTAGAATTTGGAGGAATAGTTCTGAAATTTGTTAACCTTTTAGACAGGGGTGGACCTAGGATTTTCTCTAGGAGGGGGGCGGCATGGGCGGATTTTCAAAAAAAAAATCTAAAGTTTTGACGACTTTTTTTCTATTCCGACTAAATTTATTTTCTGAGCTCTCCCAAAGCAATATAAAGACCCTGTTTCAGCCAAAATGTCTGAAAAAAAAACAGGCCAAAAAATGCGTTTTTAGGCACTTTTTGTAAAATTTTTGACCAAAAATCAAGTTTTTGTTTGGCGCGCTAAAAAACGCAAATAATCGTCAAAATTCAAAATTTTAAAAAAGTGCCTGAAATTGTCTTTTTTGGCCTGTATTTTCTACAACTTGCCTGTCATTACGAGGCGAAACTGTGCATTTAATTGGCAGGCGCACCATTTGGTGTGTGTAGATCTCTAAAATCTAAAAGGTTTCAAAATTTTGTCAGAACGATTAAACAAACCAAAGAACAAAAGAAGAACAAAAAGAGAGTCTTTTTTGCGAAATCCGCTTACAGTTCACCAAAATTTATAATTCGGCCTTTTAATAATGGCGCAGAAAGTTTGTTCGAAAAGAATCGAAGTTTTAATAGTGGTTTTGGAGAGCTCAGAAAATCAATTCTGTCGACCTAAGAAATTGGTCGACAAAATTTTCTATATCTTTTAGAAAATCTGTCTACTCCCTTGAGAAAACCCTAAATCTGCCCCTTTTAGACTAAAAAATTAATGATACATTTTTAAATACACATGATATCAGATACTAATTTTGACAAGAAAAAAAGATAAATTGAAACTCACAAAAGTTTTCGAGTGGCAATGAACTTACGTTTTTTGAGCATTGCGCTGCAAAATACGAAATCTTTCCAATAGCAGTCTGAAACAGAAATTGATAATAGATATTAACGTTTAATCGGCATTCAAAAAAGTTCCAATTATTGTTGTTCTGATCTTTGAAAAACTTAGAAATATCTATGCTCGGGGTGTTTTTTTATCCACAAACTTTTAAACTTTTTAATTAGCAGTTTTTGACACTTTCTTAAATTAACCAATTAACTCAAAAAACACTGTTGTATTGAGCTCAAAATTGGAAACAAATTTACCTCTGATACTTTGTGTAAACTTATAGGCTTTAAAGATTACCAATTTGGTCAAATTGAGAGAATTAACGCGTGATATAATTCGTGCTATTAACGCGGAGGTGGAAAGATAATCCGTCTTAGAAAACGCTCTAAGTTGGATTGAGAGCTAGATTTTTTATTTGTTACAGGCAAAGTAAATCACTAAGGACTTCACATAAAGTGTGGGGGATGATTTTCAAAAACCTCAAGAAAGAATTTTGAACTTTTTTTTCAAATTTCATCAATTATTTTAATTTAAATTTTTCGATAGAAATCAAAATGCAGTCGGAACACTCTGAGTTTTGCTCTAATACGAGAAGTTCTGTTTTATTATGCGCTTGCTGGTCAATTTGAATGCATCAATTCAAAAATAAGTAATTTGCCAAAAACAAAAAAGCTTTTGATTTTTCGAAGTCAGAGTTTTCATAAAACCAGAATATGTTCATCTGAAATTTTCATTTTTTTATTTGGTAATTGGTAAAACAAAAATTGTAATCAATGATTGCAAGCCTAAAATGCCAATGTTGAATAGATAACATTATACACCACATTAAAAGCAGTTTTTACTATCAAACATTGTTGATTTCTTACTTGCATTAATTAATTCCAGATCTAGCCAAAGTCGAAACAATATTTTTCCGACTGCTCTTGAATAAAATTACTTAATATGTGCGCTGGAAGTTGTTTTTTTGCAGAAAAATTTCGATTTTTTGACCAACAATTTTTGACCGAGTTTTCACTTATAACTCGAAAGATAATCCTGTATTTTGGGACAATTGACTTCGTGCTATTAACGCATAAGCGGAGATTTAACCCCTCTGAGAAACTGTTCAAAAAGATTTCGGGCGGTATTTGGTCTATTTAGTATAATTATCACTAGCAACGCAAATAGCCTGAGAGGGAATATTTTCAAAAAAAACTCATAGAGAAATTCTTAATTTTTATTCACTTTTTTTAAAAAAAAATTTCAACTCTTTTCTAAAATCGAACACTACCCCATAGACCTAAAAGTGCAGCCATAGTCGGAACATTCAGGGCTTCGCCCTGATACGAGCAGCCTTGCTTGCGCTTTGGTTGGAGTTTACAGTTTCTAAGTCAGCTTGTTTCAATTGATTTTGCAATGCTGGAATTGATAGTTCCCTTAGTCAAAACAGAGAAACAGAAATGTTCTCCATTCCGTATTAAGAAATCAGGATATATTTTTATACTAGTTCAAATTCATCCATCGAAGTTTTTTCACCCAGAAAAATCAAGTGAGAGCAGAACCCGTACCTAACGCAAGCAGTTTTTCTAGATAGAAATTCTATACCGATTATTTAGCCTTGTTTTCTGGTATTTTCCGTGCAGAAGTTATCTATTTATTTTCTAAATTAGAAAGAAACAGTTTTTGGAAAGAAATAACCAGAAATCAGTTCACTGTTCAACCGCAACGAGATAAACATGCTTCGAGTATACACAATAACAGTAGCAAAACAATGCAAACTTACACTTGTTAAAACAACTGTTATACTGCTAAAAGTCCTATCTAATTTCAAGGCCTGTAGCCTAGTGGATAAAGAAAAAGTCTAAAAATCAGAAATTCAGGGGTTCGAGCCCCACCAGGAGAGTTTTTTCTAGCTAGAAATTGCTTAGATTTAGCTAATTTCTGATCGGGATTAGGATGAGAAATAAAGAATTAAAAGAAAATCCATGCTCTATTTAAACATTTCAAAAAGAATTTCTGACCAGAAATTAGGTTAGATACAAAGTATTTCTGGTCAGAAAGAAATAATTTTCTCGATACGGGAACTGTTCGAAAGCTTTCTTTGATAAATTTAAAAAAAGCGTTTTGTCCAGAATGGCACATTTTATCAGTCCAGTAACCTAACCCTGCCCTGACAAAAACATTCGCAGTTAATTTATTTTTTGTCAAACTAAAAATACTCAATTGGCATAGAAAAAAAAGATCAATTGTTCTGTTCGCCAAAAATGAATTGAAGAAAAAAACTCCCATCATAAAAAGTCCCCAATGTCATTGAAAATCAGAACAATAACAAAAACTAAAAGCCAGAGGTGTTGCTTTTAAACAAATATCTCGGCATAACCTTCTTTGCCCGATTTGTCAAAAAACTCTAAACTAAAAATGCTTTGACAGAGTTATCATAATTGCTTTTCTTTCTCGTTTATCTTCATTGGGTTTTCACTGCTGCTAGTTTTTCTAAAAAGCAAAGTACTCTGTCAGTGCATGGAGTTGAAACTGTTGTTAATACTCAAAGCGGATCTTTTCAACTTTTTCCCCCCAATCAGGAACTTGTTAACTATCCCCCCCCCCCCTGTATTGTTTTTGACAACCTTTTCTGTATAAAATATGCATTTCAAAAAAGTCAACAAATAATTGGGTTTTTATTTTCGCGCATTAGTATTTGTATTACTCACTATTTATATAATGCCTGCGTAAGAAATTTTAATTATATATATTCTGAAAATTGTTCTAAGCTATTGAAAATGTGGCCACCAAAGTGGAATTTTTGAAAATCGAAATGGGTGGGGATAATTAACAAGATCCTTCAAAACTATTGAATTCAAATTCCATTAGGTTGTATAACAGAATTCAGCAAAGAAACTTTGAATTGATTTCACTACGTTGATTTCTGATTGTTAGAGCGAGCACATAACATTTTCTTATCCAAAAAAGCAACGAATTACTGCTCCAGCAGAAACTTTCTCCTTTTTAAAACTGCTTACGTTTCATTGCTTATGCAAGTTAATTTATTCTTTTGGACATCTAAAGACAATAACAAAGATATAACTGTTTCAGCTGAACTTATCTTATTTTACCAATTTGATATCAATATTTTACTGGTCTTTTCAGGGGCGAATCTAGAATTTTCTCGAGGGGGGGCGGATTTTCAAAAAAATTTCAAACATTTTGACGACCTTTTTTTAGATCGACCAAAATGATATTCGAGGCTCTCCTAAAGCACTAGAAAGACGCTATTTTGGCCAAAATTTCAAAATCGTTTTTTGAAGTGGATTAAATCTGTATTGAAAATTTTTTTATCCGTTGAATTTGCAACAGGTAAACTTTTGTTTATCTGTGTCTGAGTGAGTAGATTCAGAAAATCATTAAATTTTTGAAAACAAAGAACCCAAAAAATTAGTCCACTGAATTTGATAGCTTAACTACGCTCTTGAAAAAGAGAGAGAAGACTTAGAATAAAGGTTAACCGTCGCAACTACGTCTACATTTTTGCCACAAGATTAAAGTCGAGTTACATGTTTCGATAAAAGTACGGTGAAATTAAGTCTTGCAGGTCTTGTCTTTGCTTTCATACCAATCTCTTCAAAATGCAGCTTTAGAACGTAGTTTTTTTGTAGAATTCTCAAATTAAACTTTGACCTTTGAGATGTAAAAAATCAAAGAAATTGATTTTTTTTTTGAAAAAAATCTATTTTTGTGTTTAAAATCAGTTTTATTCTACACTACTTGAATGAGCATGAAGTCAAAGTGACCTTGTTTTTTTTATCTTATTGAATTATTGTGCCCTTGAGAATATAAATTTAGCTCTAAGCGTAGTTCATGCACATAAAATACGTCATTGATTAAAACTACGTCATGGAAGTCATCTTATCAAACTCTTAAAGCACTTTGTTTGAATTATCTTTCTACTTCGCAAAATTGTTGTTATTAAATTTATTATAACAACACTTTGTTATTGAAATATTTGGATTTTTTGATAAAAGTGAACTTGTATTTTATGAAGAAATTGGAAAAGGGTATAGAGAACAAAAAGGATAGCCAGTCACTGTGGAAGTAGCTCAGAATGGACCGACATGTAATAGTCGTTTTTTTTGCGTGGTGTGATAAAAAAAATAAACTAAAAACTGGAGCTTAGGCATATTCGACAATCTAGTAAAACAAGCAAACTGGACAACAATTGTTAAAGAAAAGTAAGTAAAAATTAAAAAATGTATATATATATATATATATATTTTCAATTTTTTTTTCAATTCTTCTTATTCAATTTTTATAATTTTTGAAGTTTTTCGTTTCAAAAGGGCTCTAAAAAACGAACAAACTACCTTTATTTGAGTTAAACGGTCAAAAATAGGCTATTAAGCTATACAATAAGTTGTTTTATGGACTGCTCACTCGCTTTATTTGCTCGGAAGAAGACAAAAAATCAAAATGTTCAAACCATTTTTTCTCAGTACTTGGAAACTTCCTTAAAGTTTTTTTTTCGAACTACGAAATAAAAGGCTTTGATATGATATGTCACTCAACCCAGTCCGATAATTCTTGTGGTACTTTTGACACGAGATGAAAGCCGAGTTAGATCTTTTGAAGAACAGACGGTGAAATTAGGTCTTGCAGGTACGAGCTTTGCTTTGATATCAATGTCCTCAAAACTCAATTTTGGAACGTAATTTTATTGTAGAATTCTTTAATTAAGTTTGGACCTTTGAAATGTAAAGAATCAAAGAAATTGATTTTTTTTCTAATCTAGTAAATATGGTGTGATAAAAAAGATCTGCGTGGTGTGATAAAGCGACCTGAACAAAAAATTCGAGCTCAGACATAATCAACAGTCATAGTAAACTAAGCAAACAGGACGAAAATTCTTCTAGAAAAATGACTAAACAAAGAAAAAATCAGAAAGAGTTCAACAAATTTTTTCAATTTTCTTTTTTTTTGAACTTTTGACGTTTTTGATTCCAAAAAGGCGCTAAATTACTCAAAAAAAAAGATTACTTTAATAACATTATCTGATGATTGTTTGTAGTTGATGATTTTGCGTGGAAACAAACAGAAGAAAAATAAGCTAAATCACATCAGAATGCAAAGTTACTCCCCAGTTTTCAAATGGTCGAAAAAAAAATGTTTTGTGCGGCATTTAGCAAAAAAACAGGCCCAAACAAAAAAATGACTGTGCATGCTTATAACGGAGGCCAATAAACATGTGTGTTTATAAGCATGCCCCGAAGGCATTAGTTATCTGGTCATACAATCGAATTTAAACCAGACTGAAATTTTATTTGGATTTTAAAATCATTTGAATTAGTTGGTGATATGCTGTTTTACATTTGCATATCTATTCAAAAAAAATACGAGCATTTTGGGAAAACAAACAAGACTCTTTGTATATCAGGGCAAGCCCATGAAGGTTCCCTCTGCCTCGCAATCTATATCGAATAGTTATTGAGAAAAAAATATTGAAAAACTAGAATTTTTGGGCAATATCAAAGATAAAGTGTAAAAAATCAAAATTAGAATTAAGATGTCCAATCACTTAAGCTCGCCTCAATTCAGTTTGAAAAATTTTTGTTGTGCGGGATAAATAATTTGCCAGGTATGACTAATTCGCGTTACGCACTCAATATTATGAATAAATTTTTCAAAGCGCGCATAATTTCGCCCAAAACATTGCCAAATTGACAATTTTCAAAATCCCAGAACCCTACAACAAATAATTGCAAGTTATTTTTTTCCACTTGAACTCAAAAAGACGATATCTTCAATAAGCTATAGGTTTTTTTTGATAAGAACTAATATTTGTATCGTAAAAAATTGACTGAATAAAGAACCACAGCAGCAAAAACGTTCTTCAAAAGTCGGAACAATTAGAAATTAGAATAAACTTAAGATGTTGAGCGAGTCAGCTGAATTCTTTGAAATGGGAACCTAACCCTCACGAAAGTTTGTTGGCCGCTCGTACTTAAATTAGAACCTCTAATTGTCAAAATGTCCATTTTTTGAATTCCAGCTACAAGTTTTCTCGGATCAAACGTACAAACTTCTACCCTCTAAGTGACCTATCGTAGAATGCCTACCGTAGGAACTGTCCAGTTGGTCACTTTTCTCCAATTTTAGGGCATTTATTGCGTTTTTATGGGGCAGTACAACAGTGTCGAAAAACAACATTGCCAAAAATCAAAATTTTGTTTAACGGTGCCGAAAAATAATTTACTTAATACAAATCACTGACAAATAATATTAATTAAATTGAAAAAAATTGAAAAGACAAAAATGACAATTTGAAATCAAACTAATTGTTAAGCAGACAAAAAATCGCCGAGCGCGGAGTTATCATTTTTTCTGAAAAAACTGTTAACTCAGTAAAATTGTCAGTTTTATGCTCGGTTTCTTTAAAAAACAAAAACAGTATTTACGCAAAATTGCCTACCATTAACAAACAGAACTCACATTTTCAAATCTCATCATTTTTCTGGCACTGTTGAAGACATTTTCAGTTTGTTTCGGCATTGTTTTACTTTGGCATTGCTGAGTTCCCCCTGTTTTATTTTGAGGGTATATTCTATTTGATGAGTGACTATTGAATAGTTTTTGTTCCGGCTTAATTTTCCACTTTTCAATTGAATATTTTTAAGAAAAGTTTTTGTACCATCTGAAAAATCTTGTCTTCCTGAGCTCAAATTTAAAAAGTGTGGGTTCTTAAAATTGCTATTTTTCCGAACTTGAGATGATTAATGCGCAATATTTTTGCGTTCTTATCACACGCGTAAGTGTCTGTTGCGGAACTTTCAATTGTTTCTTATATTTTTTAAGTCGTACCGCTCATCAATCGTTTGAGGTGATATATTGCAATAAGTGGTAGTATCAATTTGAATAGCTGGATCACTATTTATTATACTCCGCTCGTTGTTTAAAATTTGATTCAAAAGCCAAATTTTTGGCAAAAGAAGTGTAAAATTTGAGTTTTTGAATCGCATTTCATCTGGTTTAAAGTGTTTTTACAAAAACTATCTTAGTAGTATAATAATTGATTGAAAATGAAATGACTATGCATTATAGTTCTCAAATTTACTAAATGCACTATACTCAAATTTACCACCTATTGTAACATATCACCCCCGTTTGAATCTTGTTTAAAAAACCGTTCAAAATCCTCGACAAGAAATGAGCGGATTTTCAGCGGTTTTTAAACAAGATTTGAGGTGTTTGAGTTTTTTTCAGAAAACAGCTCAAACTAATCAAACTGTTCAAATCTTGCTGGAAAACTGTTCAAACCGTTCAAATTTTGAGCGATTTGTGAGCGGAATCTCAACCCGCGTTGAAAACGATTTTTTGAAAATGGCATCAAAAAAATATATATATGCAGGCACAGTCTGAACCTTTTAAAGTATTAGAGCATAAAAGCTCTCAATCCTTAAGGTTTTAAATCAATATTGATAACGTACCGTCTATCATTGATCTTTTAGAGAGGTGGTTGTTGTTGAGAGGGGCTGAAATTAGAGGCTGAATATAGTTTTTCTGTTGAAATCGGGAATTACTTGGTGACCTCCTTTGATGATGTTGTTCCAACTTTTTCTGAGTTTCTGTTAGCCGACTGATTTGGGAGGCTAGGATAGCGTTTGGCCAGTCTATTCTACGAGCATGGATTTTCGGATAATCTGTTTCTTCTCTCCAAAAAGGGTGATACGTCATCTAAACAAAAAAACATGAATTAACAAATTATCTGAGAGATGCTTTGTTTATATTATTTTTAAATCTATTTAAATAAGAGACTATGACATCTATGCAAGAAAGAGTGTAAAAAGAAACGAAGCTTCTCCGTTTTGCGCTAAAGCGAAACAGCATTCAAACAAATTTCTTACAATTTGTCAACAGAACTCAGCTTTCGGCAGTGGTGAACGCCCCCCTTTCAGTCATAAAAAAAATTATCGCTTTTTTTCTCAGTATGAAAAAACTACCAGCCATAAAATTCCCATGTAAAAAAAAGCTATTTATGCTAATTTAGCGGAGAAAAAATTCTCTATGGAATGTACGTTCAGCAATATTTATTAGTGTGATAAAAAAATTTTATGTTGGAAAGGGGGGCGTTCCACACTGCTGTAAACTGAGTTCTGTTTTATACTACACACTAATATATATTGCTGAGCGTACATTCCATAGAGAATTTTTTCTCTGCTAAATTAGCATGAATAGCTTTTTTTTACATGGGAATTTTATGGCTGGTAGTTTTCTCATACTGAGAAAAAAAGCGATAAATTTTTTTTATGACTGAAAGGGGGCGTTCAACACTGCCGAACACTGAGTTCATCGTGAAAAATTGTCAACTTCGCAACTTTAATTGGAGAGATATTCATAAAGAAAAGATTTGTATAGATTTTATTTGCATTGCTACAGTTGCAGGACATTGAAGTTGAAACTTTTTGGTTACAACGAGCAAATGAACGAATTCTTTTACCATGTTTTTGCCGTTTTCTTGGCAGTTGTTTTTTTCATAGGGATTTAAGGTTTTTCATAGGTCAAGTAAAAGCATTTGAAACTAGCTAGCTGGATCAAATTTCGATAAAATCTAGTTCCAAATAACACATGCAAAATAAAAAATATTTAAAAGGAGCCAGCTGGCTCAAATCTCGACAAAAACTGGGTTTGAAGGCGTAAAACAGCTGCTACAACATTGCTTGTTTCAGAAGTGTTTCCTGCAGTGGAAACACCCTTGCAAACTATGAATGAATTGACTGCACCTGCTGTACTTTGTGACTGCACCTGGTCGAGTTCTGTAACCTGTACGCAAAATATTTGCGAAAAAAAACACAAATCAGTAAAATGAATGAGGAATCAAACTTCTGAATGTTTAAAACCTACTATTGTACGTATCGATTTTTCCCGGCTGAAATTGAGCTTTTTCTCGGTTTTTGGCTGGACATTAAAACAACTCCAATTAAGTGGAATTCCTCATAGGCGAAGGACCGAATGGGCGAAAATAAAAATCAGAATGGGCGAATGAAAAGCAAAATTTTCAAATTGCCACTGACCGGCGGCGAATTGGAACAAATTTCATATTTCAAGGGTTTCGTTTGCAAAATATTGTTTCATTTTATTAATTGACTTCTGACTGTTTTCGTTTTTGGGCCTTCGCTCATGAGAATAGCCCCCCTCCATTTAGCCCAATGATAACAGTTTTTTGAGTGTTTGGTGCATTTATACAGGACCTCAAAACGACTGACACCGATTGTCTGGTGAATATTTAGTTTTTTTTAGTCAACGGTAATAACCGCAAAAATAAAACAGCCAAAACAGATTGAATCACCTAGAAACAAGAAATTAATGAATGAAATGGCAATTTCGAAACAGCAAAGATCGCAAGTGAAATAAAACTTGACTAGCATAAAAGCTTCGAAAAAGTTTTAAAATCGCATCGACTAGCATAAAAATCGAAACACAAACTTCAAATGTTGTCAAAAATGTTTGGCGTTATCTCAAAATTTTTCATCGAAAACTTGTACAGAATTGCAATCCCCACCTCTTCTTTTGCTAATGGGCGGAAGTAAACCACCCCTTAGTATATAGTAACGAATGACCACCCTTATAATTAAATAATTAAGAATTTGCAAATTTCGTAACTAGCAACGAATCTTCCCCTTTTAGCAAAGGGGGTTGGTTAAGAAGATTCCAAACAACATGTATCAGCACAGTTTTTCCGTTTCTTTCACAATTTGTAATCGGTTCAAGCAATGGCAGGTTGGGGCAGGGGTAGATCTAGGTTTTTCTCGACAGAGAGGGGGCGGATTTTCGGAAAAGCAGGCAAAAATAGGCGTTAAAAAGAATTTATTTAAAAAGGATTATTACTTAAATTATTACCAAAGGGGCCCTTTGGGTAGGCAGGGGATTCAATCTTTGAAGGGGCTCGACCCCCTCCGCCCCCTCTCTATGCTCGCCAGTGGGTCGGGCGGGGGGGGGGGGGTATGACTGATCAGAATTTGTGTCACAAGGAATTTCGGATCAATTCAGCAATCTCCCCGCCCATTCTCGAGTGGGGGGAGATAGCTCAATAGGTACTTGAGACATGTTTATAACCACTTGTAAACTTATTGAATGATATGAAATCACAAACCAGATTCTCCAACGAATGTGGAGCGCCAAAACTTACAATATTGAAGCTCAAAAATTGCAAGAATTGCTCAAAAATTGAAAAGTGCTGCGGAGAATAGTTTTTGCTATTCAGATTCTAGGCTAGAGCATCAACCCTGCTATTTTGAGTTCATTGATGAGGCAATGGTCGCCCAAACAAACATTTACAAGAACTTCAGTCGGTCAATTGATTGCGTACTACGAACACAGCAACCATCTTCTTGCGTTTGCCGACATTTTTTGCAGCGTTTTACCGTTTTTGCTTGGGGGATAGCTCAATTGGTCATCACGGGGGGACGGGGGGATTGTTTATTTGATCAGGAATTTTACTAGCTTTTTGGTAGCTTACTATCTCATTTTTATCAAAAATGCTAGTTTCAATTTGAAAGGATTCTCCTTGTTTTGTTTTTCTGGAAAAAAAAAGCTTTCAAAATTATGTTAGTCGATACATTTACACCCGCATAGAAGTTTAGGCGTAAATAATCGATTATAACGGATTATTATGATGATTTTTTGACAATTATAATCGATTATAATTACCAAAATTAGGTCTTTAAGGGATTTATAATTGATTATAATCGTGATATTTTCCAAGAGATTATAATCTTTTATAATCGATTATAATTGATTATAATTGATTATAGTTCTTACTAAAAACCCTTAAAATCAATTATAATCGATTATAATCGATTATAATCTCTTAATTTGCCAAAATTTTTCTTTTTTCGAATTATATCTTATGGGTTATTATTTTTGTGTCAATAAGAAAATCTCTAAAAGAGAGATCTCTTGAACACTTTGGCTCATCTGAACACAAAGTTTTACCACGAAACAAAAGTTTCATAGAGATCCTTTCATATGAGTGGAAAGGTTCTCGCGGTAGATGAAAAATAAATTTTCCGAATCAATCATGAAACTAAATCAATTTGCTGATGTTTTGGTGTTCAAAAAAGCTTAAAATATGCATCGCAAAACAACTCTATTGGGGAAGAAATGAAAAAAAAACTTATAAATTTGAATTAATTGGAAAAATTTAAAAATATTTTTCTCATTTTTCATTGGAACCAACGTCCACAAAAAGCATAAAATAAAAACATTTTATATGCAACTTCGAAGACAAAAATGGACAAACAAAAGGGATTATAATCGATTATAATGGATTTTTGTGCAAAACTAATGAAATAGAAATTTGAATAAAAAAAATGGATTATAATCAATTATAATCGATTATAATTGTGTCGAAAAATAGACGATAAAATAATCGATTATAATCGATTATAATGGATTATAATTAATTATATTTTGATTTTAAAAAGAAAGATTATAATTGATTATTAATTGATTAAAATCGATTATTTCGCAATTTTAGTGAGACTGTTACTAAAATCGTAATATAATCGATTATTAACGCTTGGAACTGGATGCGGGCATGTTTTCAAACTTTTATGCTAGTCGAGCTCTATGCTAGTCGAGCGGTCACCAATTTTTTTTATAATTCAGCTCAGTGGATGAAGATTTCTCAGGTGGTTAAAAAATCCGCTTAAGCTGTGACCCTAGTCGATCAAGGGAGGTTATCTTGCAAGATCTTGCAAGAATCTTGCAAGATTCTTTTAAAGAGGATGCATCTCTTTAAAAGATCTTGCAAGATTCTTGCAAGATCTTGCAAGATAACCTCCTCTAAATATAACCTTTTTTTTGCAAGATCTTTAAAGATATAATTTTTTTGGGCAAAAACAGCTTTACACGCGTGTGCGAGCAATGAAAGTCAAAGCAATTATATAGGGGGGTAGCGAATGTTTACTTGCTCAAGAAAGGTAAGTTGATGTTCACTCATAGTTCTAAATAGTTCGAAGTATAAGCATTCGCCATTATTCAATATCTATTGATTGAGGAGGTGGCAAAACTATTGTATTTTTCATTTGGATTAATTCATTTCAACCAAACCTTACAGTGTTTATCCATTCATTCAAAGCATAAAAAGGGTTCAGCTTGGACTTAGAACATATTTGAAACTGATAAAACCGTTGAATATAAAATTTCAGTGCGAGAAGAGAAGTCAATAAAACGTAGGTTTTACGGATCACACCATTCTATGCGTTTGAGTCATTGAATTTACCATTATATGTTTTGTAATAAACTGAGTAATGACCCGTCCAATTTGTTCAAATGTTTTCACTAATTGGGTTCTTTAAAATAGTAGGTACTGTTGCTTTTTACCATCTTACGATTGTCTTCTGGGAAAAATACCTCAAGCATTAGCACAGGTTTCACTTAATGAGCTATAAATCAATCTGAAAACAATTGTTTGTTTGCGCCCTAAGAGTCAGATTTTGTTATTTAAATCATCATCTAAAAATATATTTCTTAAAGGTTAACAATTATTGCTCAACATTGCTCATCTTTGAAGACTAGCTTGTCAAAAAAGATTAAGCTAAGAATCGAATTAAAATTGAATACAGAGAAGCATTTCGATCACATGAATGTTTTGATATTGGGTCAACGCCTGTCTTTATCAGCTAGACAGTTGCAACCTCCACTCCTCAAAAAGGATTTCTGATAATCTTCAA